TTTGAAATACTAATGAATATGTATCACATTACATTTGGAAATATCAGTGTTGCGTCTTTCAAAATCATGCAATTTCCATCTTGTTACATAAGTGACAAGTCAAAACTGAAATTATGAAATTCAGAAAAAAAAACCTGATTCCTGGGATTGAAAAAGTGAAACTATTCATGATCAGCTTCCTGTATATACAACTATGATGTCAAAAATTATTTCTATTTAGATTGAAAACAAATTACTGATGAAAGAATACATGCAACATATTGTGGTATGTATCGCAAAACATAACTCATTATTACAATAAATTGCAAAACAAAAGTCAGGCCAATACCAGTCATTACTATCCTAAGGGCCAATAGAAAATCAAAACATTGGAGTGGGGGGTATTTCCATGTGTTATATTATCACTGTTTGGACTAGAAGACATTCAGGGGTTGATTTCCATCCCTGGTAACAGCTAACAGTGTTTGAAATAATTGACAGAACCTAAGTCCATCTTGTTGCTATGGAAACGTAAAAAATAAAAATTTCAAAAAATTCTTAATAGCAAAAGGCACCAGTTCAGCATGTACTTGACAGACCTGCAAAGTTTCATGAAAATATATCGAACGCGTTCTGAGTTATGCTCCGGAAACGTGACGGACGGAGCCTGTTTCTATATCTATAATAAATATTTAATAATCACAAGAAATAAGGGACAAATCGCATCATGATTCAATTGAAACAAGCATATAGTCGACGAAGTCATCTATATCCCCCGCCCATTTTAACACGTTATGGTCGCAAACCAGGTAACTGACCCAACATTTCTCTTAGCCCATGTCAAAATTGCTGCAATGGAAATTCTAAAATAAACATTTCTAAAACTCCTTAATATCAAATGACACTAGTTCAGTATGCGCTATATATATAGACATGCAATGTTTGGTAGGAAATATTTAACAATTTATTTGTTATACTAGTAAACCAATCCTATATTAAAACTTAAATCCAACTTGTTGTCATGGAAACATAAACAATAAAAATTTCTAAAAGTGCTATATATCAAAAGGCACCAGTTCAGTATGTGCCTGGTAGACATGCAAAGTTTTGTAAGAATGTATTTTACGGTTTTTGAGTTACACTCTGGAAACGAACACCACCCCTGTAGAACCTAAGTCCAACTTATTGCCATGGAAACGTGAAAAATAAAAATTTCTAAAATTCCTAAATAGCAAGAGGCACCAGTCCAGTATGTGTCTGGTAAACATGCACAGTATATTGCTGGAAAGTATTGAATGGGTTTTGAGTTATGCTCCGGAAACAAACTCTACCCTATAGAATCTAAGACCAACTTGTTGCAATGGAAACGTAAAAAATAAAAATTTATAAAATTCCTAAATAGCAAATGACACCAGTTCAGTATGTGCCTAGTAAACATGCAAAGTTTTGTAATAAATTATTTAACGGTTTTCGAGTTACGCTCCGGAAACGAACAGCACCCTTATAGAACCCAAGTCCAACTTGTTGCAATGGAAACGTAAAAAATAAAAATATAAAACTCCTAAATAGCAAAAGGCACCAGTTCAGTATGTGTCTGGTAAACATGCAAAGTTTTGTAAGAACGCACGCACACGCACGCACACGCACGCACGCACGCCAACTTCGTTGGGGCGGGGGATAATATTGTAAATCAATCAGTTTCAAATCTACGAGGAGGTATGATAAAACTGAAAACAGAAGTAGTCCTTAAATTATCTGCACGACAGTTGGCCAGGCAGAGGAAAAGTCATGCAGCCCAACAGAAAAGTTACCAGCCACCAGCAGGCAGTATTTCAGACACTATTCACACAGAAATATTCTGTTTCAACACACATGACATTTAACAGAAAGTCTTGACCTAGACTCGATACAGGTCCAGATTGTGCAGCAGATTGTGCCTCCTCAACAGGATATACTAGTCCAGAGAACTACAGCTTGGACTACATGTACTACCTGGCAAGGCATGCCCAGGTCAGGAACCAGCCAGTCACACCCAGGGCATGACAGTGGGATTCTATTTAAACCTTCAAAACAGGATATAATACAGCCTTGCTCCGTCTGTAGAGGTTCACTGTTCATTGCACAAGTATGTTCAACTGAAATATCATTTCTGACCAACCTATGTTATTGTATATATATCATGTATACATCATTAATATCATTCATATAGCATTCACATAGCATGTGATGAATATGCCATGTGTATATAATGTGTATATCATGAATATATACTAAACAAAACAAGTTAGGGATCATGAATCTCTTTGGGGATAAGTTTTATGACATTGTGAGCTCAGTTTCACTCCAAATAAATATCCCTAATAATAATCATATTGCCTTACTGTTGGTTTTGGGTGGCCAAGACTAGGTGGTTTGGTTGATTCCGTGTCATTATAGCTTGATGGCATGATCACTGGTTGGTCTGGTCCAGACTGGATTATTTACAGGGTCAAGGAATCCCCATGGGGTTGAGTACCAACACAGTGTGAGGTGACACTTTTTTATTTCTCTGTTTATGGATTTCAAACTCATTTCAAAAGTGGGGCAGGCCAATTTTTTAAAAAACACACACTTTTTTCACTTGAATTTTGTCCTAAAAAATTAGGTAGGTATGAAAAAAAATATCCTGGAGTAACAAAAGAAAATTACTCAATTTTTCAAGAACATTTTATTATATATGGCCATATACTATTTGAAAGGTCTATTTAATCCCATTGTTTATTCATATGAAAGTTATGTGTATTACATTATTCAAATATTCAACTTAATAAAGTTTGTTCCTGGTGGCGCTCCATCCAAGAAGTGATCATTCCAGGGAAAAGACAAAGTAAGGAGGAATGTGGTTACCAATGGCATTACCACCACCGCTGATGGTAACTGTGGAAGATCTAACTCAATAAAAAAATATTTTAAAAAAACAAAACTGTGGAAGATCTTGACAATGTTACTGCTTGTGGTTGGTACGAGGACTCACAGACGATCGTAGGAGGGGCATGCTCAGTACTGATCCCAGTCTCATCCACGTTGTAGATCCTTTCGGGATTCTCTCGCAATTCATTGAATGTCAAAATAGTGGCCAGGTCCTTAAAGTAGGAACGCAGTGCTTCACGGGAGGCATATTGTGCTCTCAGCATGGATAGCTTCTGGGGTTTGGCAAGTTTAACCCCAGGCCATCACTTTAGGATCCCATAAGACCAGTTGTCACTAAGAGGTCTATCACTCTTAGTTTTACTGCTACATGTCACTGCAAAATCGGCTGCCAGGTATTGAACATTGATCTTTGTATGGCCGTATCCTATGCTGGACATGTACTTAATGTGCATGAGTAACTGCTGCTCCTCTTTGTCAGACAAAAGCATCTCTCCCCCGGGCTTGGCATCAACAGGAACATAAGCCCTTGTTCTGTCCTGAAGAGTTGACTACAGAACTATATACAAACAAGATGAGCGATAAACTGACATTCCATCGCAAGTGGCATCAAATGCTTGCTGCAAATTGGCAGCATCATACTGGCACCTAACTTTAACTGTCTTAGGCTGCTGAAAAGATAGTTGCCTCCTTACTTTAACAGTCTTGCTATCCTGAAAAGAGAAAAGGTACCGGTAAGTAGAATATAGTCTGTGCAATAATGAATAGGTATTAAATGCATTTTTACCATTTTACCCCCCCTCCCCCCAAAAAAGTAATAAAAAACAAACAACAACGACAAATTTGAGTAAAAATATTGTAAGATTTTTATTAAAAAAGGATGAAAATAATTCGTCGCTCCCGCTACCTTATTTGTCAACATTGAATATGCAGATGACCTAGTTCAGGTTGACCGAGAAAGTTCACTTGAGAAAAAGCGTTTTATATCGTAGTCCATTGATAGATGGGGGATAAGGCAATATTAAAAACATGCTAGAACTAAGTATAAATGCTTACTTACCAGTAGACAGAACATTCTGCAGCAATTGCAATTGTTTACGAAGCGAAGACTTCCTGGTTGCTGATTAGCATACGGGAAATCACAAATGCCGCGAAATCATGAATGCCTCGGTACCACGGGGTCCGAGTATACAAATGCAATAACAAATTGCAATAACTAAACATTTCAAATGGGTGCCATAATGTTATTGTTAAATAAAGAAAGTTATGTCAGGACCCTGAAGTAACATTGTCCCAGAGGATATATGAGCAGCTGAACATGATGAAGTTTAAGTAAATAAGAATTTACAGTAACCATGGCAACTGGATGCAATTTGACCAGGCAAGATAACATCAACAGACCGATTACCTGATTACTGCTGCACTGTGTGCTGGTGTCAAGTGTTCTATGCCTGTAGGGAATGTATCCATGAGGGTAAATATACCACAGTGCAATGTGCAGAAAATCACCTTGTCTGAAAGGATCTTGTTTTGTAATACAACAGTCAGAAGGTCAGCCCTTTGCATGTATTGTCAAGCTGGACATTTTTATAAAACTAATTTGGTGCCTTGACAGAATAAGCATGATAAGAGGAAGTTTGTATCACAAACATATATTTATTACAGCATTCCTTTAAAAAGTCTGCAATCTTATCAAAATTGACCTGCCGCCTAATGGACTGTATCAGGCATCCAATGTATACAGGATGTGAGGTAGAAGAGTTTAAGTGAAGGATTGTATTACAGGTACATGACTTTCACATACCTTCACACAAGATTTCCATGAGGTATTTATCGAGACCAACTCAGAGGCCGTTATTCATTACCGGTCACGTCAGAACGACCTATTATCGCATAGAATTAAATCTCAAAATATAATGTTAAAATAGGCCGGAATTTATGAAAGGAAAGAACTTTAAAAAATCCCAATTTTGAACAAAAGAGCAATTTTTCCCAATTTCCCTGTCAGTTTAGAATCAAGGATAAATCCCTGTCATCAAAAATTCATGTTCAATCACCATGGCAATGTATGACAGCAATGGAAAACATTTCATACAAAGTGTGTAGCAACTTACCGCAACATCTTCTGAGTCGTACCCTAGTTTCTCTGCTAAATGTCGCCAGTCCGAGCCAAGCAATAGGTTTGGCTCTAATTTCACAGTCAGCTCCTGCCAAGCTGTGTATGGCAAACATCGGAAAGGTATTTCCTCCATCATTGCGGCCTTCACCTACACACAGCAGACAAAGTTCAAGGCTGACCATTCAGTGTGACCTTGATTTTTCAATAAGGTCCTTGACCTTTGACGAGCTTTGTGACCTTTAAACCTTCTAGGTCAGTGGTGAAATCGAAGACAACCTGTCACCTTCCCCTGATCACCAGACAATGGCAGACTGAGCAGCTACTCCTCTCACCATCTTGGATGAACCTGAAATCTGTGGACAACGCAACTGTAAACCTAAGAAAAAGCACAGTCACTGAACCATATTATTTTCCCTTCCAACCAGCCTTTACTGTAATGCCATAGCCCTAAATGAAGCAATTCAAGATTTTTCACATGTTCTCAGAAGCTCCTTTTCAATTTAAATGTAGCTGCATGTGTCTATCAAATCATATATTTTCCGAGACAAAAGTGTTAGTCTAACCAAAAAACCTGTAAGACTGGAAACAGGCTAATGTGTGGTGGCTACCTAGAAGGTGAGGTGAGGTGAGGTGAAATGGCGTTTAACGTCACGTACAAGATGATTGCACTTATATAGCGACGTGCTATATATAAACTCCACTTGTCCAGGTACCTAGTCTTGGTATCTGCTCAAATGCTACAATGACCAGTGACCAAATTCCTGTCAATTTAAATATTATAAGAGTGTTGTCTTCAAAGAAATCTATGCATATCATATGTTCTTGTGGATGTTTTAGGTACAGGGTATGTAAATGCAGATGATTGCATATTAATAAATATTCGATTCTAGAGGCCACGAATAACGAATTCATTTCATGAATGGATATGGTTCGATTACGAATACGCGAGTGAATCGTAACGGCCCTAATTAAGCATTACATTGTCTTTGACTCTGAAAAGCTCTGACTTGCTTACTTAATTTGTGAAAAGTTTAAATGTGCATGTCTATTATCAAATACTTATAGCTAAAATGGATAGAATTATCATTAAACCGCCCGCATGTTATCAGAAATGAGCGGGCCACTGTAACTTGATAATGCCCTCATATTGCTTGACGACGGGCCATTATCACGCCCGTTGTTGTGTGACGTCATAGGATAGGGATAGGTGACGTCACGTTCAATAGTGACGTCATCTGGTTTGTTCCATGATGTTTCCATATTTGTAAAAGTGGGTCAGTGACATTGTGTTGATTGCAGTAAATGTTTCAAAACCGATATTGTTTCTTTTTATTTGATAAAATTCCATTTTAGCTATAATAAAGGTAACGCTATCTTTCAGGGCATTATCATTTGCAGAAACCCTCGGTCTTTTCAACTGCCCTCCTTCGTCTGGCAGTTAATGGAAGACCTTGGGCTTCTGCAAATGATAATGCCCTGAAAAATAGTGTTACCCTTATAGTATCACGTTAATGAGAGACTGATGATGTACATCGCAGCATGACATCAACTCACTTCACATCTTGTCAGGGGAGCTAACATACAGACCAAAATAAGTTAGGGATCATAAATATTTTGGGGGATATATTTCTGAAATTGTATGCTCAGTCTTCACTAGAAAGGAATTGAAGCTTAAGCCCCAGAAAATACACTGATCAGTGTTACCCGGTAATAGATAAAGTTCTTTTGATAGGTATTAAATGATCAAGATCGAAGTAATTAGTGTAAACAGGCTTTTATTGTATTTCCTTGATCAAAACAACACACATCCTCTATTACTCACATTCAGGAAAACCTACACTAAGACCTGTATTCCTTCTCATGGCTCACCCGTGATTTTCATTTTCACAACCGATGCCCTAAAAAACTAATTTTACAGCCAACAACATACAACAGTTGGTTTCTAAGGGTGGGGTGGGGACCTTGCAGACCTTGACCTTCAGAGAAACCCCCACAAGAACGAGTTTGGTGATGATAAATCAAGAATCAGTCATGGTGAACATAGGCTAAGCACCCCTTTACGGTTCTCAGGCCTGGTTCTGAGTTCAGGTATGAGTTGGCTGTTTCTTTCAACGAAATGTTCCAATGAGGATATCTGTACAATTGTTATCAAGTTACGGGTTTCGCAGAGAAAACGAGCATCAAGGTAAACAACTGGGTGCTGTTCACATGAGAAATGAGCACTAATTATTTGTCCAGAGATTAACTCATTAGCAGCATAATTTAGCTTAAGCTGTTAACATGTGTTCGATTCTCTACACAGCACTAATCAAAATCCGAAAAAGTGTGCCCAATAAAGTGCAGTACTCCCTAATTGTTATATTTGTTTTGGCTCAAGGAATTTGGGGGGTTAATTTGGGTCCAATCTCCTTCTATTCAGGTCTTAGTGCTTGCTACCGATCTGAGGACATGCCACTAAGGTCACGTCAGAATGCCTTTTGCGAACTCTGACTGACCAATGAAATGACTGACAAGAAGTCTTCATTAGCCAATCAGAAAGGGTCTTCTTGAGCTTTAGGCACTAGTTTCAACCTGGAGACTTCCATTCCAGATGATGCTTTGAAAAATATTTTGCATAAAATATTTTCAGTTTAAAAATTAAAAACTGAAACAAAAAAATTCTGAAATGTCTAACATATGGCCAAGAATTTATGGCATTACTTCCCACAAGCTATATATGTTTCGTATGTTTCAAATGTTTATATCCCATTGAAGGGAGAGATTTTGATGGAATCAGTCATGTACAACATCATTAGAAAACACATTCAGGCTTTCACTTTAGCGGCAATCTCATAACCCCTAATTGGTCGGATGGAAAGTCTTTCTGGCGTAACCTGTGATGGGATGTCATCAGATAGGGTCGCCAGCACCGAAGTCTGATTTAAATGAGACTGATTTGGTGGGTACAATGGGCTAACACGTACGTCATTGGTTTGGCACCAGGCAATTCAGGCACCAGTCTTTAGAATAACCAGAAACGTGGGAATTGGTGGATTAGTGGAACTGCAAATACATATTCACCATTTCTACGGAGTTTTCTTATATCAACCAGAACTCCAGATAAGCTGCGTATCTGCGTGAAATACGCATCAGAAATGCAGAAATACACAGTAAAATATAATCCAAGCAAAATATGCAACAAACATTACAGATACGCTACAAAAATAAAACTTGTGCGTATCATCAAAATATTGTGAAGTAACCCTGCATATTCGATTAGCAAATCAGCAACTTATTTTGAAATTATAAAGGGGCATTCCGTCAACCTTGCCAAACTCCACGATGACAGTTACATCATGATCATTTGCCATCACACTTTCTTATGGAAGTATCGTGGTATTTTTGAGTCCTATTAAGTTCTCGAACCCACATGACACCAGTTTGCAGGGACTAGATGAGTTGTGTTTTTAAATATTTAACTTAAATACCCACATGTGTAAAAACTAGTGGGTAACAGAAATTTGAATACTCAGGTAGAATTACTGATACCCAATGATTTTAAAATGCATGGGTAAAATACCCACAACACCAAAAGCTTATCTGGAGCTCTGATCAACACTTCATCAATAAAACACCTGTTGACCTGAGAACAGTGAGCATGGCGAGGTGATATGTAGAAGCTGTTTATGATCAAAAACGACATTGGCCATTTGTTCAAAATTTGTTTGAACAGAAAGAAGACATTATAACTAATGTGCACATATGCCTTATCTGATCACTTGTTTGACTGGCTTTAGGACACCAACAACCGCGATCAATAGTTATCAGCTGCTTATGAATATGAACCATCTGCTTTTTCTTTGCGCGAATGTCTTTCCTGAAAATAAACTCATGTTCATTAACATAACATGCTGTTTATACACCAATGACCAGCATTGATAGAGGCATAATTAATACGTGACATTTAGATAAAAGCATGTTGTTTACAATGAATGCTTACCTCACCCAGTTCCAACAAGGAAGTTGTTGGTGGACGCCATTTTGGTTGCGTTTGAGCGAGCAACTAGCGTGTCGATTTCAGAAAGAGGCGAGAACATTAGGCACGTCATGATGGCTGAGGGAACTTCTGTTAACGGAACAAAACCATTCTTTATTTAAAAAAAGAAGTATAAGCTCTGTTTGCAATTTTTTAAAAGAAATCGCGATTTTTATAGAACAATATGAGCAACGAGGAATTAAAAGTATATACATTTTCGTGTGTGAAATAATGTCCTTATAATATGAATAACTCACAAAGAACATTCGCGCGAGGGTTCTGAACAAACAAATTATACCAACGTGCGACTTGGCACAGACGTGGAGTAACATAGGCAGCTTAAATCCAGATATAGACCCAAGCTGGAATATTGCAAAGATTGGCGTAAAACCAAACTCATAAACTGAGACAAGGATTGTTTACAACTGTTGCAATTAATAACATTCATAATTTTCCATCATATGACTCCGTTCAAGTGAGTGAGTGAGTTGGGTTTAACGCCGCTTTTAACAGGACTCCTTTCAAGGACCTAAGCAACCTATGCTTGTCGTACAAGACGACTAAATTAATCGGGTGGTGATCTGTCTGTCTGTCTGTCTCTAACAGGGGACACCAGAAATCGTCTTCACACATCGTCTCCTTGTGGGGAACGACCCCGAGCGACGAGCGAACGCTTTAACCACTCGGCAACCCCACCGCCCGCCGAAGTACATTCAATTTCCAGAACAGAACCAGGAACACACGGGAACATGTACACGTGCGTGTTGTGTCACCGTGGAACTGTCTACCCGTCCATCCCCATTAGTCTGAAATGGTAACAGATATGGAGATAGGTCAGTTTCTGTTTGAAGCTGCAGCCTGCATTCCGCAAATACCTTGAGTGAGTGAGTGAGTATGGTTTTACGCCGCTTTTAGCAATATTCCAGCAATATCACGGCGGGGGACACCAGAAATGGGCTTCACACATTGTACCCATGTCGGGATTCGAACCCGGGTCTTCGGCGTGACGAGCGAACGCTTTAACCACTAGGCTACCCGACCGCCCCACAAATACCTTGAAGATAATGTAGTGAATACACAAGAAGTGACTCATGTTGTGGACATGAAGCAGTACAGACTTTGAAACATGTTTTTAGTTCATATCCATCAGTATAAACTGTCACGCAAAGGAAGTATACACTTAAAAACTGGATTTGACAACAACAAAAGTTAAACGTTATCAAAATGTTACTGGGACAAAACATTTGCAATGTTTAAATTGGATTTGACTTCAAAAATTACAAACGTTTTCAAAAAGGTTACTTGGTATTGTGTCACCGAAACACTGCAAACTTTAAGGTCCAAAATATAGCTTTGATACCCGTATAAAAAGCAAAAAACACTATCGAGTAACCATTTCTTGTTGGTTTCCTGTCCTAACTGTCCCTCTGCGTGACAAGCAATCGCCTTCACAATGCAGGGGGTTACTGAGGGCGGATCCATCATTTTCAAAAGGGAGGGGTCCAAAATATGAAAAATCCTCTCTCAGATAATTGTACTGCCCACAACATACTACATTTGGTTTTCAGGGTGGGGGTGGGGGGAGGTGGATTTTTTACCAGCCCCTCCCCATGGGGATCCGCCTATGATCAACATCAACATTATTTGTTTCATGTTCTTGTATGTTGATATCGCTTCAAAGAGCATCTACTTGCGAAAAAGCATTAATCATACAAATATATTTTTAAACTCCTTTGCTTATATACTGACCACGAAAATCTGATACATGCAATTGACCAGTCCCCACAAAAGAGGCAAGGGACCATGGATTCTTTCATATCAAGGCAGATTAACAAAAGTAAAATCAATGAATCGGGTGGTCCTTAACTTTTTGTGAGTGGTATATAATTGCAACTGCAACAAACACAAGCATACAAATACATAGATAAAAAGAAATCAAACCGAAATGATTTATTAATATTAACCCTTACGATATCTATAGCTTGTGTGCGGGCAGTCGGATATTTCTTGCAATGCAGTTATGTGTATAGATGTACCACTGTAGATGGGTTAACTCGAGACCCGGAACTTCTTCAAAATTCAAACGTGTCGAGCGTTTAAACATGTTTACGGCAAAATGCATTTCATTGTGTCTTTTCCTCATAATCTAATCATGTTTATATAACATTTAAACCTGGATAAATATGGATACGATGTACAATACACTCTTCAAAAAATGAAACGCACAGGTAGAATGTAGTTCATTGAACCCGACTACACAAAAAATCCGGTATATAAATTTGATATATGTTATTGGAAAATGTTGGCGTCAAAACGCAGCCATTGTCTATTTGCAATGTCTTATTCTTCACACTTGTTCAAAAATGTCTTGGAGGAAAACAGTAAAGAAAAAAGGCATATGCAAGTTATGGCATTCGTAACTCGTGGTTGTGGCTATAAAAAGTCAAGCATTAGCCAATAATTTGTCATTCAATTGTCAACATTTTTCAAGTTCGAAAATGCCGAGACTCAGCGCTGCCGATCGGAACATCGCAATAGGACGTATTATCGAAAGAGGGGAATCGTATTCTTCTGTTGCACGCCACTTCAACGTCAACCAGAGCACCATTGGCCGCCTTTGGGGCCGATACACACAGTTCAATTCCACTGCAGACCGTCCGAGAACCGGCCGACCAAGAGTTATCACCCCTGCACAGGGTCGCTACATTCGACTGTTCCACCTACGTCATCGCAATGCCACAGCTACGGAGACTGCAGGACGCACCCCTGGTTTGAGGAGGATATCGGACCAGACTGTCAGGAACCATATTCGCGAGGCTGGAATGCGACCCGGAAGACCAGTTATCGTCAGATCCATCGACAGCGACGCTTGCGTTGATGCCATACCTTAAAGCCTTGGAATTTGAGAAACTAGAGACGAGTCTGGTTTAGCGATGAATCACGATTTCTTCTTCACCAGCGAGATGGAAGACAGCGTGTTTATCGTCGTCGAAATGAGCGTCTTGCCCCACACTGTGAACGTGAATTCCACAATTTCAGTGGCGGTTGTGTCATAGTGTAGGGGGGCCATATATTACACCACGAGATCTGACTTGGTTGTGGTTCAGGGACATTTGACAGCAAATCGCTTCAACCTCACTTTCTTCCAATCATTGACCGCCAGAGGGAGCTGTTTCGACAGGACAACGCTCCACTGCTCACAGCTCGTGTCTAGGTAGACTACCTCCATAATGCCAAGATCAACGACTTGCCCTGGCCGTCGAGATCTCCAGATCTCAACCCAATCGAACACCTCTGGGATGAACTCGATCGACGTGTACGTCAACGTCAGAACATGCCACAGACACTCCCACAACTGGCCAACGCGTTACAAGCAGAAAGGCGCAGAATTCCGCAGGACAGATTTCCTCAGTACCGAGGAGAAACAGAGCCGTGATTTCTACCTGGGCCGGTCACACGAGATACTGAATCCAGCGCAGCCTTGTGGCCTTATGTGACATGACAATGAACAGTTTTCAATGCCTTTGTACGACGACAACATGTGACTATCGAGCTCCAAAATTTCACATTTGTATCTATGATATTAAATTAAATATATCGACTTTATTAGGTACAATAAATGTACAAAAATATCTACCTGTGCGTTTCTTTTTTTGAAGAGTGTATATATTGAAATTAGATAAGCAAATTCACGGGCACTTGCATAATGCATACCACCAGGATTTACAACGAACTTAATTAGCACAATATTAACATAAAATATGCACATAAACCAGGCTAAATTAAAGGTGACTGGGAAAAAGCACACCTGTGACCACAACAGGCTCCACAGTTCAGGAGGCAGAGTGAATGACAACAAATCAAGAGGTTGCAGGTTCGTTATATTTCGAGTTTTTTAAAGCGTTGTGTTCATAAATCAGGATGTTGCAGGTTCGGTATATTCCGAGTTTTTTAAAGTGTTGTGTTCATAAATCAGGATGTTGCAGGTTCGGTATATTCCGAGTTTTTTAAAGTGTTGTGTTCATAAATCAGGAGGTTGCAGGTTCGTTATATTTCGAGTTTTTTAAAATGTTGTGTTCATAAATCAAGAGGTTGCAGGTTCGGTATATTCCGAGTTTTTTAAAGTGTTGTGTTCATAAATCAGGAGGTTGCAGGTTCGTTATATTTCGAGTTTTTTAAAATGTTGTGTTCATAAATCAGGAGGTTGCAGGTTCGTTATATTTCGAGTTTTTTAAAGTGTTGTGTTCATAAATCAAGAGGTTGCAGGTTCGGTATATTCCGAGTTTTTTAAAGTGTTGTGTTCATAAATCAAGAGGTTGCAGGTTCGGTATATTCCGAGTTTTTTAAAGCGCTGTGTTCATAAATCAGGATGTTGCAGGTTCGGTATATTCCGAGTTTTTTAAAGTGTTGTGTTCATAAATGAGCTCTTGCTGTATGGCTAATAGTATTTATCTCATACAGACAACAGAAGCTGGCAATGAAAGTATATCTGATCACAACGATGGACCCTTAACGTTTTCTTACCGAGCTACCCGAAACACACGCCTGAACGCAACCAGTGGTTTAGCCAATGCACGTGCAATACATGTCAAGTCACAGTCAATGTGGGTAGAAATTGTTCATTCCAGACGCATCTGAACTGCACTTTTCGGGGCGGAAAGAGACGTTTTTCAATACTTCATGTTTTATTTTCAGCATGACACCTCAATAATGACTCTGGGTATTTTACACATTATTGCCATTGTTGTAATATGGATACAACTATGGCAATATAGTGAGCTATGTACCTGTATGGCTCTGTAACGTAGAATTCGACATGATGACAAACTCTGTTCTAAATTCTTCAGTTTTGAAATTGTTACTGAGTACAAGGGAGGTATGTATCTCTGGTAAAATAGTTACAAAGGTATTAACGTTGTTCGAAAAGAGACGGGGGTCTATTGGATCTGAAAGAGTGAGTGAGTTGGGTTTAACGCCGCTTTTAACAGTATTCCAGTTATATCACGGCGTTTCAGCTTAATGTGGGAGGAAAGC